AAAATTACATTCATTTGAATAGAGTGAAATTTGTGATGCCAATCATTTCTTGCTCTGATTCTTCGATCCTTGACCACGAAGCATTCCTACAAGTCCAGGTTCAACAGAAAAAGCCATTGCGCGGATTTGTGTTTGGGGTTTGCAACACTGACCCGAAAGAGGTTGAAGCGTATTACAGTGCGTGATTGGCTTGAAATATCATTAATGTGACAATTCCAGATGCAAGGAAGTTTCTCGGCTTCTAAACATGTCACTAACATAAGAGGTCCAAATCATAAATAAGATGACGCTACATAAATCTCTGAGGATTTGTATTGGGTTCAAATTTCCAAAGTTTGGTTTGACATGCACATGGTAGGGTTTTGGGTTATTTGATTGAGATGCATCTAGGAGCTTGTTAATTTGTAGGGTCCTTGCTGAGCTCTGATTAAGACCATTTTCTTAATTTTCCCAATCAAAATCTGATGTGAAGGTCTATTCTCTTTCCAAGAAACTCAATACAAGTCCTTGTCAAGGGCACTTTCAGAGACCCCTAACTAACTGTAATATATAGATAATTTAATCCCTATGCTCCCTTGTCGATATTTCACAATCATGTTCGACCCGACATTTGATCAAGAATTATGATTGAAAATGACAAAAAATTAAGAATTAAAAAAGGTAAAAAAAGAGTTTTGTGGCTCAAACCTTTTCAAATTCCTGCTGTTTTGCTAGATTCGTTATATGGTGTTACGAGGCTAATGAAAACCCATGACATTTGTTGTGTTGGAGTAGAAGATCTTTAGAATAAGATCAAAATACATTACATTCATGTAATTAAATTACATGTTTTATCGGATGATATTAATGATTGACAAAGCGTAAATAAAAAGTGACACTTAAAAATGTTCTACTAGCAAAATATGAAGCATGCGATCTTGTTAAAGGAATGTTCTGTTTATTAGTATTATCAAGTGACAATAACAACCCGACTCAAGTTTTTTCGATCTCATGTTTTAAAAGATCTCTTGATGCATACACTTAGGAAAAGAAAGTGCACAACTAAAGACTTCAAGAATAAAAATCCTTTTACTCATTGGAAGACTACATTTGATGTACAAGGTGGCATACAGGTTAGTTAGATTGGGTTTAACTTTAACTAATTCGGTAGTTTGGTTTGAGGAACTCCTGATGTAATTTTAGATTTTCTCGTTAACGATAGTAATCATTTATAATCTATAATGGTGGGAACGCTCTTCTTCTCTTCGTTCGGGCTGAAATCTCTAGCAAGGTTTTTATCGAGACTCACTGTTTGCACCATATTCTCAATGTTGCACGTATTCAATTTTTCTATTAATGAATATCGTATCTTTGCTAAATAAGAATAAAGATCCTAAGACAATCTATAAAGATCCTATTTAAGACAATCCTTAACAAAACATACACAATGATCTGCAGTAAAGATTGCAAGTCCTTCCTTCCGGATTGCTACAAAATTTAATTAAAACCCTAAAATCTCAACTCAAATATTCCCTTCACGCGTGGACAAGAATTACATTGAAGGCAAGGGAACAGTATGGGTTTTGACGTGGGGACAAAACTGTGGTTTAAGATGCTTCCTCAAACTTCATTTCTTGCAGATCACAAAAAATACGTTATATATTGTCGTAACTGCTGGCATGGGATATACAATATTTTTAACTTTTAGGTTTATGAATATATCAAAGATTGAGGAAAAAGTTATGCATGCATGCATGAACGCTAAAGGCCGAAAACACAGAACTTTGCATGTGCTTCTAAGATTGCAGACCGACATGTATATGATATATCTCCAGCTTTTCAGACTCACTTTATTTCTAATAACTAATTAAATAATAGCTTTATCTATGTTTTGTTGACGTGCAATAATTTGATCATGCAAATCCAAATGAGTTAGCCGCAGTGAAAACCGAAAGCACCAACAAATGTACTATTAATACATTTACCATTGCTGACAACTTACAAATCATGATTTTTAGTTAAAGAAACAAACAATACAGTTGCTTAAACGATCTCGGACCTCTTTAACCGTTACGTACCATTTGGTTTTCACAATTAGATGCTCACATCATATAAGATTTGTAAATTATGAGTTGTGGACATTGTATGTATGTTTCGCTCAATTTTATTGTTATAAGTGTGAGTCTTATATTTGATTCCGCTTTCTTTTTAATAATGAAAATATAATAGTAATCCAAACCTGCCACATCTTCAATTGCTATGCTGGCACCTATATTGATATAACCTGCTGCTATTTTCGCTTTAAAAGGCCCTGGTCGGTAGATTGAGAGTAAATAATTGAAATTTCTAATGAGGATATAATACAGAAAAAGATTTTGTTAATAATTTGTCATGCATAAGACAAACGTGAGACAATTAATCTGAATCATTTGTCCTGTTAATCATGGTTCATGAACACTTGAGCTTAAGTTTTTTGTTCCATCTCTTAATTAATTCTTTGATTAGGACCAAATTAAAATAAAACACGGGAATTTTAACGAAAAGCTCATGGTACTGTTCATTTTAACGAAAAAGTAAAAACCACATTTTTACACTAAAAAGTCAATCATGGTACTATTCACTTTATACTTTATTTTCTCCTTATCGTTAAAACTTAAAGTTTTCAAACTTTTTTCATTAATTTTCCTATAAAACAATACCTCAACTGACATCAAATAGAGTAATAGATAGGCTGTGGTGACACCTGTAATTAGGGTTTTGTATGTTAGTGAATTGCTTTCACTACTTCCTACATAAACATACACACGTGTATGACAATGATTTATATTATTGGAGATCAAAAGTTGGAAACAAGATGACAAGACCTGAACCAAAACTCATGTAAAAAGTTTGGGAACCATCAAATGATGTCGTTCAATGAGTGACAAACTATTTTAACTGACAAACTGTATACATGGGCGGATATGTGGTATTATTTTTTATACAATTTTTTACACACGTTTATGTGAAATTTATTCGGTAATGTATTTATGAAAGAGTGATATTTGCAAAAACTATTTTCATTATCAATTTACATTAAATTCTTCTTGGCCATTTCCAAGAAAATATCTCTACGTCCGACGGATATATACACGTTAGAACCTTTTTCGGCGTAGGTGTTGCAGTTCACAAGTTCAAAGAACGCATGCTTCTGACGTATTTCGATGGATCGGATTCTGGAGCTTTTTGCATGATCACATTCACAATATCACATTATATATCCAAATATTTACAGAAGACAAATGCCCCATGATTCAAATTTGAGGGCAGTACGACATCGGTTTGGTCCTGAGCCTCTAATAACCTCAAGTTCCCAGCTACTTGCCTTAATTTGGCGGTCCAAAATTCAGGCATGAGGGCTCTCACCTATTCAATGTAAGTCGGCCATCCATGTGACCAAATGCCCAACGAAAAGGGGACATATAGTTCCTGTTGTCCGCCATGCCCACGTAACACCAGAGTTCTTTTTTTTTTCAGAAAAAAAAAATCATTAATAATTTATACAATTCACACATCATACAAGCATACAAATGTAAATTAAATATATTACATGGATATCAGAAAATGGATAGGAGCCTAGAAAGTTTATTGTCTTGACTTACACATATCATATATAATACACAATTATTTTTTGGACCAAACGTTGGTTATATTTTCGATAAAATGTTGATATTATTGTCCAAAGATATAAAATTCATCATTTAATAAAGAGCAGATGTCCTGCATAAATACTTTTGTATAATACGCATACATCATGGTATAACAAGAATTTTATATATTATGATTGTAATTTGAAGGCCGTTTATTTAGATATAATCAATATCTATAATCATTTGACACAATGACACTCAATCTCCATTGTATTAAACGAGATCACATGACCACAAAAGAGAAACCATTCCAAGCCAAATTCAACTTGGAAGTAAGACTTTAATTTATTGCCTTTAATAAGTTAATGCTATGGTACTTGAATGAAGAAATATATGTATGAGGGTGGGGCAGTGACAAAACATAACACATGCACTACCCAAATCGAAGCACGAAAACGAAATAATGGGTGGGACTCGGCCACTTCCCACCATGAGCAGTGCTCAAGACTACTCCAAGTTGCCATTCACATTCTGCACAGATTTGGAACTTCTACTTGCAAGCTCACAAATGGTACTTTATATCCCCTTAATTTTGTTTCTCCCTTAAGGATTAATGTTCATAAAAATTGAAAGAAAAATGGAAAAAGATTAGAAAGTAAACATATTTTGATTAAGCAAAATTTTCTCCCATGTGCAAAGATACCATTATCTGTTAAGACTACCTACCATTATTCAACCAATAGAAGGGCATTTTCAACTTTCTTGGGCCCCAAACTAAGAATTATCACCTTTATTTAAGTGTAATTAAGCACCAAAGATTAAAAGAAAATGCTATTGACACTTCTAATTTGTCATCATTCACATACCCATTTGATGATAGGAACCAAACAAGATTGAAACTGAGTCCAAGCATATTGTCTAAAGTCTCACCTCTCTAGACGAGATTTGTAAGATGAAATATATATGTTGGATTGTTGGCCAATTCAATCAGTCCGGTTTCAGCATTTATAAGTTCACCAATCAACGACTAGGTCATTGGTCCAATGTAATTGAAGTAGTCTACTCTAAATCAAATACCCGACTGCGTTCAAAGTGAAATATTAATTTGTTAAATGAAATGGCAAACTAAATGTGTGAAGAACACGAAAAGCAAAATAAGTGCCATCAAAGAAAATCAGATCATATAATTTATTAAAATTTGTAAGAGATTTAATGGATGAGAAATGCATGTGGAAAGTTTGGCCCACGGGGATATCGGTTGGTAATCCCAACCACAACCGGCATGTGCACTTGTTTTCCTCAATCACTTGTGGCTGTTTTCTGTGATATCATATGCAAACAGACTCACTCACTAGCCTCCCAAGTTTCCTTATTAATAGAGGAACCCTCGTGCACTCTAAGCACAAAATAAACTCCACCATGCCCTACACAAAAACTACAGTCACAAAAAATGGCAGCTCATCCATTGTCTTTGGCTTCTATAGCCCTCTCTCTTGTTCTCCTCAATCTACATCTGCATGGTGTGTTGGCAGTTTATGGTAGCTGGGAAGGCGCTCATGCCACATTTTACGGCGGTGGTGATGCCTCTGGCACAATGGGTAAGTTCAAAACTCAAGTGTCATTAATTATTTACCCCGGTAAGAAAAAAGTGTTTTTAGACAACTAAAATTGCTGAGAGGTTTTATGGCGGCGGTAATGCCTCTGGCACTTAGTAGTACAATCTAGTTCTTTTTCACTTGTAAGTGAGAGGTCTTAGATTCGATTCTCGCCAAAGGTAAATTTGAACCATATTATTGGTATCCCATTGTAAGGCCAAGTCCACTCTCCTCCATCCTTAGTGTAGATAATATCGTTTGTACCAAAAAAAAAAAAAAAAAAATTGCTTATAGAAGTACCGTTTCTATGTATTGGAGGTGATTAAGTTGCAATGATATATTTTATATTTTTCTATGAGCTGAAGTGTTTCTTGTAGAAATAGTCCAAATGAGTTAAAACTGGAAGTGTGAATAACATTTTAGTAACGAAACAAAACTATGGATAGATCCCTGGTTGAACGGCTCACCGTTGATCCAACGGCGTAAACAGAGTGTTTAATTAAAGTGTTGGGGTTTGATATTAATTTGATTTGAAATTTTGCAGGAGGAGCATGTGGTTATGGGAATCTGTACAGCCAGGGGTATGGAACCAACACTGCTGCTTTGAGCACAGCATTGTTCAACAATGGCTTGAGCTGTGGATCTTGTTATGAAATGATGTGCAACAATGACCCGAGATGGTGCCGTCCTGGATCCATTATTGTTACTGCTACAAACTTTTGCCCTCCTAACTTTGCTGAGTCCAACGACAATGGCGGATGGTGCAATCCTCCTCTCCAGCACTTCGATTTGGCCGAGCCTGCTTTCTTGCAGATTGCTCAATACCGTGCTGGAATCGTGCCGGTTTCCTTCAGAAGGTAGGCCTTGAAGTTAATCACGGTGAAATTACAATGCTTATCGGAAATGTAAAGATGTTATGTTATCAGACTGAGAATCTAAATGATTAATTGAGTGAATTCTTTCTGAAATACGCATGACTCTCAAGTAGTGATAATCTAACACAGTCAGATATCTGAAAGCGAACATTAGTCGATTATAATTACAAGTTAACACCTTACAATTTCTTACTAATGGGAGGTGTTTGTGTTTTGGTCTTGGCAGAGTACCTTGTATGAAGAAAGGAGGAATAAGATTCACCATCAACGGCCACTCCTACTTCAACCTGGTTTTGATCACCAACGTGGCTGGTGCAGGAGACGTCCATTCAGTTTCAATCAAGGGGTCCAGAACAGGGTGGCAACCCATGTCAAGAAACTGGGGTCAAAACTGGCAGAGCAACTCTTACCTCAATGGCCAAGCCCTCTCCTTCCAAGTCACCACCAGTGACGGTAGCACCGTCACGAGCTACAACGTGGCGCCTGGTAATTGGCAGTTTGGCCAGACATTCTCCGGGGGGCAATTTTAGAATTATCCCACTAGATTATTGGTAAAAATCTGTATATCTATCTGCGTCATTTTTTCCCCTTAAGCTTCCAAGTGCAAAAGCAAAGAGTAGTTGTGAAGTGAAGGTCTGCTGAGGTGAAATAAAATACACCCGCTGAGCCTTTCACATTTGAGATTTTCTGGAGAAACGAAATTTACCTCATTCAGGTTGTAATCAATTTCCTCAATTGTAACCTTAATGATATATATAATAATAATAAAAAGAGCTTTATTACAATCGACATAACATTTAATGGCAAACAACTTTCTCGTGATACCACTAGTGTCGATATTTCAAGTCAATCAGTCAACATGACGTCGCAGTAGTAGGTAATTCTTGATAACTTACCTGCAGAATCCAAAAGAATATGAGGCAACACAACCTTATCCACACAATCACGTTCAAGTTGTTCTTTTTGGCTGTTGGTAGCAAGTAGTGACTTCTTATTAGAAGTTGGTGTTGTATCCTTTTCAGCAATATGTAAAGGCCTGCATCTAACATACAGCAGAACATGGCCACCTGGACACGGGCATGTGCTGTAGCAAAGGCTTGTTTTATTGTCATAGGGCAACTAATTGTTGTGAAGGGTGACAGACAAAACAGAAACTTGGACAAAAAGAAAGGAACTATCATTTGGAATTTATCCAAGTACAAATGGAATGTATTTCCCCTTTGTGAGAAATGTGATCAGGTGATCGATAGATGTGATATCTAAATTCTCGAAAAAGTGCGTTGAATCAAAGATTACTTAAAATAGTGCGGAAATTTTTTTTGTAACCATCGTCAAACAACGAATGTTCATTCAGGATAATTAAAGGGATGAGAGCTTACCAGTTTATCCAAATTAAGATTTTCTGAGAAGGAAACATGAAAGTGTGAAAAATGATTCTCGCGCATGAGTTTGTACTGGAATCCCACTTCTGCCTAGTCCAATATAACAACAAATCACTCAAGGGATATGAATTAGAGATAAAGCTTACGTACATTGCATAGTCATAAAATATGTTTCAGTGAATGACCGTATAATTAAGTGCAAATTCATATTTGATTTAAATAATCATATATGGTTATGTATTTGATTTCAAACGTTATATTTGACTCTTATTTGGTGTGTAGTGGGAATTACATATCACACTAGAGTCAAATTTAACTCCAAATTTAACTTTAAAGTTTTAACTTTTAATTATTAGATTAGACATAACCTAACAAATGCAAATTTGAGTCATAACAAAATAATTCATCTCATAATAATGCAACTACCTTGAGCCACTTAACTAATGTAATTGATTTTTAACTAGATTGGTTCCTTTTGCTGAAGTTTTTACACCTCCTGAAAGACCAATCTATGAAAATTGAATTTTTCAAACTCAAACACAATTTAATAATTTTGCAAATAATAACCAAAATTCAGGGGCTTAGATCTGTTTTTGCTACCAAATATCAACCAAATTGGAGACTTTACAGTCATCCATATATATTTGTATCGAACACGAACAAATTGACGATGTTGATACCAAGTAACATTTTTATGATGAACCGTCCATTTGTTTGATACATACAAATAATCACAATCTTTCTCACATCTAGAAGAAACATTCCAGTTGAAAAGAGTTCGGTGAAGAAACAAGAAAAATGACAATAATTCAATACTTTTAGATTCACAATAAGTACTGCCATTTGAGAAGAATTACGGAACACGTTAACATTAACATCACAAAGAAAACAAGTATGGCCTGCAGAACGAAAGGTAATCCGCTGAAGGATGAACAATTAAGTCCCCTCGAATTTGTTGGCATCGTAAATTTCTCAACAACCTCCTGAGACATTTGAGACGTTACATGCTCTGACCAGATATGACCGCAGCAGAAAAGCTCGCATACTTTATATGTTGCAATTTTTGCAGCCGGAACACCTCTTCCGTTTCCTAGGCCATAAAAGTTTACATCCTCAACAGCATTCCCTGCCACCGCTGAGGCAGAGTGAGTTCCATGAACGAAAACATCCCTCGAAGACTCTCGAGACTAATATAGAGGTCCAATGAGCTTGCTGCAACATGAACATTTTATATAGTTTACAAAGTATTAGTATGTACAGAAGCAATACAATTATAAAAATTGTGTAACGCGGAACATACATAGGTGACTATGCACAACATTCTTGCTTATGATTTAGTTATTGTTTGTTTTCACAAAAAAGTATAACAATTGAAAGTAATAATTGGTTTATATATTTGTACCAGTGACTAGTATATTATGTAATAACTGAAAATTATGGAAACTATCTTGTTGCACCTGAAATTTTTGCAGCCTTCATAGGCACCTTTCTACCTCTGGGGAGGCAGGCCAAAACCTTCCTCTTTAAAGCTCAGATTCCACCCAAATCCTACATTCAAACACATGAACAATAATATCACTTTCGATAATTGCTCTTCAACTAAATTTCTCATTGAATCCCAAAAAGTCCCAAGATCTTGAACGTTCTGCTTGGAAAGACACAAAAATAACAAAAATATCACTCCTGATAATTTCAGCAGTAAAACGGGTACTCAACAGTTCAAATTACTTGAGCGATATAGTTACAGACACAAAATCAATAGTATTCAAAGGATACTAAAAGATTATATATTATCTATTGGAACATAGCACATATAGTAAGTCGGACTTGATTACTAGAAGAGGAAAGGAGGAGGGAATTTGAAAAACTTACATTGCTTAAGTTCACTGCGACAGTAAATTGGCGAAGCGTTGCTTAGCCTTGGCAGAGGGTAGATTCATCAAATTATTCTACATCCCCAGCTCTCTAAGGGATGTAATGTTCCCCAACCACTCTGGTAAAGCCTCCACTCCCTCAAATAGTCGATACATAAAGCAGTTAAATTTAACTGAGGCAGAGACTTGAGCTTTGTCCACCATTTCAAATGTAATAATTCAAGCTGCAATGATCAACCTTGAACATCATGAAGTTGATTCCTGCCAGAACCCGCCAATGGTGAATTTTGATCAATTTCGGGGTTTTAAACCTTTTCGCAGATTTCTTAAATTCGCCAAATTATAAAATCCCTAACTTAGTTTGCAACTGACGATTCTTAACCTAATTTTCTACAATAATGCAGATATTTGACAGTTCATCAAGCTACTTAAGGGAAATGAAATATCAATTAAATAATCAACTGAATTCAAGTCATTGTTCATACGATTCAAAAATCTGTTCAGAAATCACATAATCATAAAAATATCAGCGCAAAATCTTCATAAGAATAATAATAGACGAAAAGTAATTGCAGTAAATCTATATTTTTTATTATATGAATATGGTTTTACATGATTAGAAGCATTACTCTTCCAAGTTTCTAACCATGAACGGGTAATTAAGCTAGTGGTTCAACACTCATACAAATGAACTAAAGAAAGTTAACATATCGATTGATGTTGCCGAAATTAAGAAAGATAACATGTAAAGGAGAATGCCCACATGGTACCAAAAAAAGAGGCTTTCTTGCTTGATAAGAACTATAACTTAAAGTACATTTTGGAGAAATGAAGTTAGAGCGAGAAATTTAATATCTTATGCATCAGTACCTGTACTCAGTTTGCACCTATTGAGCATCCTGAAAAAACGCCACGGCATGCCAAAAGAAATATAGATGCCACTGAAGAGGAGGAGGTGCGGATTTGAAAAGCTTACAGGGATTAATTCCAATGCGGAAGTTGCATCCATGAATATCCACTGTACATACTTTGGTTTTTCCGCAACTCATTTGTTGCAGTTTCTAAAGGCGTTGCGTAGCTTCAATCCAACCGTTGTCCCAGACTCTTAACTAATTTAAAACAAAACGGAGAAGGATAAACAACTTTGGTTAGTTTTCGAAATTTTTTGTGTGGATGAATAAAAGAACAAAAGAGATAAACATTATAACATGTACCCTGCAATTCGATTTCAAGAATCGCAAAACGTACTTGTGATATTCGGAATGTGAGCAATCTTAGGCCAATCTGTGCCGTTGTCCCTGGTGCATTTTTGCTCTAAAAGAGGATGACATCCGGAAATGTCTAGGATTTGTAATTCGGTGAGACGTTGCATAGCTTCGACACTAGGTAAATTCAACAGATTCTTGCAATCTTGAATCTCCAACTGTGTAAGGGATGTAAGGTTACCCAACCATTCTGGCAAAGTCTCCACTCCGTCAAATGAAACTATCATCAAATCTGTCAAAGAAGTGAAGTGTTGAATCTGTTGAGGCAAGGACTTGAGCTTAGGCCAACCCCACAAGTCTAGCATTGTAAGATGCATCAATGATCCAACTCCAAAATCAGGGAAGGAATCGAGCTCCTCCCAGAACGGACCCATTTGTAATTTCCTCAAGGCGAGGGAGCCACCGTAGTCCCGCCGGCAAGTATTTTAGCTTTCGCCAATTTCTGATCTCCAAATAACAGAGAGAATTGAGGTTGTCTAAACTTGGAAGAATCTCTAAATTTGGGAAATCGTTTATTGCCAGCCACTCGAGAGAGACTGGGAATTGCAGCCCGCTCACCCAACTTTCCAATCCTTCACAGTATTCAATCCTCAGTTGTTGAAGGGGTATCATTGTGCGCAAATCTGAAACGCATTTCTCCTCAATGCTGCTACTTTGGACACCAAACGACGATAGCTTCGGGCATTCACTTATATACAATTGCTGAAGAGAGGGAAAGTGTTGTGGAAGAGCAGGTAAGCTCGATAGTTCATCGCAATATCTGATTGTCAACTTCTGAAGAGTGGTGAGAGACGCGCCGCCTTTAATTTCAATTGATGTCAGATTAATGCAACGCCATATAAACAATTCCACGAGAGAGGTGCAGCCTTGAAGCCCACTCAATGGGCCAGACAAACCACTGCAGTTATGAACAACCAACTTCTGGAGAGGTGCAGTAGTCTAACCCACTCGGTAGTCGTGACAATTGTTCACAATGATAAATCTCTAATCTGCGTAGCGATGCCATGCCCTGTGTAATTGGAATCAATTCTAGATTAGGACATCTGTATATACCCAGGTACTCAAGGAGAGGAAGTGTGTCTAGCCCATCCGGCAACTGCCTCAGTTTTTCACAATTACGAATAATCAATCTCTCAAGAGAACCACAAGAACCGAATACATCGGGGGCAAGATCATAATCAATGACTCCAAAACTTTTTAAGTTAGCCATTCCGCTAATCTTAAGCTCCGTAAGATTGGGTAGATGACCAAGCGGTGGGACTGCTTCACATTTGTTGCATCCAAATAACTGAATCTTCTTCAAGTTGTTGAGTTGTAATGGTCTACTCATCATCCACGATGGAAACTTATCGCCCATGAAGTTTTCAATACTCAAGCTCTCTAAATCAGGATGCGGTCGGAGGCCTTCCAGTACATCCCCCTCGTCATTGTTGTCAGTTGTTGACCTATATCTCGTCCATCTGAGTGTCAAATGGCATACTTTTTTCTTGTCCTCTAGTTTAGCTTTTTTTGCTTCTTCTCCATTGTCTACGTGTTCCAGATTACAAACAACTAATTCACCTTTCAATTCTTTCAAGCCAGCCAACTCTTCAATTCGACGACCAATCTCATTACCCACCAAAAAGTATGGTAACGTTCTAAGGCAAGTCAACCACCTTAACCCCTGTGGAAATTTTGTACTCTCATCAAAATAAATATGCCTCAGATTGACCAAGTTTTGCAATTCTTTTGGAAACTCTTGAAGGGCACAATTTGTTGCTCTTAACGTCTGTAAGTTATAGAGCTTGCCTATAGAGCTGGGGAGTAATTTGAACCTTGTTTTAGAAATGTCAAGATACCTTAAGTGTTTCAGCCTTTCAACTGAAGTTGGAAACTCTTCAATATTAGCATTACTTAGATTCAAGATGCGTAAAGCTTTGAACCGTGGCAGAATATTAATAGGAACTTCACCCTCTTCAAAGACCAGTGATCGCAATTTTCCAGCACTTCTTTCTGGAATTTTTTTCAGTATAGAAGTAGAAACTCGAGCAACATGTCGAATCTCATTTGTATTATCTATGCCATGGAAGTCTCCTGTCAAGCTTTCAAATCTGGATACAAGTTTTGCCAAATCGTGCACAAGATCGTGCATCTTGCATTCGCTAATAATGCCATTATAATCCAATGTAGCATCTTGAAATAAGGAGCTCTGCAATAGAATCTCAAAATATTCATTGCCTATATCCTCCATATCTTTACTTTCGCCAAGTGAAGGGCGGAGTAGTCCTTGAGCCATCCAAAGTTGAATCAAATTCTCTCTTTGAATTTCAAAATCTTTCTTGAACATTGAACAATATGCAAAACATTGCTTCAATGATGGTGATTCTAAATTGTCAAAACTCAACTTCAAGACTGACATAATTCTATCTTCTCCTTTCGGTAGGTTGTTCCATATTCCACTTTCTTTAAACAACAACCATTCAGCAATACTGTTTTTAGTGTGCAAAATGCCTCCCAAAACCTGTTGATTGGATTAGAGAGTTTCTATCACATAATGATTCATAGAGTATAGTAGTTTTAACTGAAGTTGATGAAAAATGAAAAGAAAAATACATGACTGAAAAAGAGGGCATAGTTATAATCAGGTTCAAAAGTTTCCTACAACAATGTAGAAAACACTTGAGTTATAACAAAGTATTCATCCAGTAATAATGCAGTTGGCTTAAGTCACTTAACTAATTTAACTGATTCTAACTAGATTGATTCCCTTTGGAAGACCATGTAAATTGAATTTTCAAAATTCGAACACCATTCAATCATTTTGCAAATAATATAACTAAGATTCAAACGGCCTGGATCAGTTTGCATACTACATACCAAATATCGATCACATTAGAGACTTTTTAGTCATTCATATGTATTGAACACAAACAAATTGACAGTGTTGGTTTCAAGTATCCATTTGTTTGATACATAAATAACTAAACGAATGAATGAATTGTGTAGAGACGGTCTTTTAATTATTATTATGAACATGAATGGTTTCAATTATAAAATTTGTACAATATATTATATATCTAGGAAACGTCTAAGCCATGTGCAAAATGTGATACTAGCTTCCGTGTTTGTCAAATTCCCGAAATATCCATTAACTAGTTAAAAAAACGTTATATTCTTGATTTGTTGGGTGATGAATTAATTTTGTTTAGTTTTTGTCTTGTTGAAATCAATAAGCTACTAATGTTGGTTTTTTATTAAGAAAATGTCAAGAGAGACCACACATTTTTTTGTATACCATCTAATGCATAAGTGAGCTGTACATGTTATATCAATTAATGAAAAATCAATCTACGTAAATTATACTTTCAAAATTTGAACTCAATTCAATCATCTTGCAAATGATATAACTAAAATTTGAAGGGATCGACGATGTTGATACCAAATAAAATATCTATGATATCAGATAGCTAATATCTATGATTTGAAATGAAATTTTGTAATGATGATTTTTAAATGATAATTACAAAAATGAATGGTTCCGACTAATACGTTTGTCACAATGCCTTGTCCTAATTTATAAGTGATGCGCCCCCTGTGGTGGATGCAAGTATATATTGTCCTAATTTATAAATAAAAAGCATGTAAAAAAAAAAGTGCAAATTCCAGGTTATATGAGGTATAATAATGGTACGTACCTTTGCCATCAATGGAATACCACCACAATTTTCAGCAATTTTCATTCCAATTGTCTTGAACTGGGGAACTATATGAGCACTGCTATTTGGGAAGGCTTTCTTTTTCATGATAGACCAACATTCATCCACAGTAAGTTTTCCCAGACCATGTCGTCGAAGTAGTTTTTCTGATATTGATGCAACTTTTGTACTGCGAGTAGTGACAATGATTTTGGATCCCCCAGCAGATTTAAGCTTAAATAAACATTCCATCAAATTATTCCATTTTTCGGAATCTTCATTCCAAACGTCATCAAGTACAAGTAAGTATCTTTTATCTTTCAACTCTTCATTAAGGAACATAAGCAAAGCATTCTGGTTATCTTTCGAAGGGACTTTTGTCGGATTAAGCTGTTCTAACATCTGGAGTAGAATCAAATTGACATCAAAAGTGTTCGATACACAAACCCATATTTTTGTTTCGAAAAACTTGCGTATCAGATCCTCATTGTAAACTGACTTGGCCAACGTTGTCTTTCCGATGCCTCCCATTCCCACAATGGCCATAACCGCAAGATTTTCTTGATTGTATCTGGCGTCGGTCAAGTTTGTAACTATTTTTGAGACATCGTCTTCCCTTCCAACAGTTATTTCATCTCTGCCAATGAATGCGTTGGTTTGTCTGTCCCATCTATTTCCTCGAGGGGTTGCATCTATTCTCTTGGAAACTAGACCAATGAAAGATGCCTCACCCTTGAGATCTACCAAGGACTGGTTGATGTTCTTAATTTTATGTGCCATTTTCAAACGAAATGCAAATGGATTGGAGAGTGAAAAGAAGTTAAGTACCTTTTTCTTCATATGATTTTGGAGTTCAACCTTACGGCGAACAACTTCGTACTTGAACTCATCCAACACATCGTCAGCTTCATGAGCTATAGCTTTAAGCTTCCTCACCCACTCCTCCACCACCATGACCCGATCTTGTGGTTGATCGGAAACAGCTTGCAAGAAATCCTGAATGGTGAGTAATGAATGGTGAAGCCGTTTTAGTTCAGCTTTGAAACCCCAAGCAAGACTGAGTTCTTGAGCAGCAAGTGACGCCACCTTCGACAGTATTCCCTCAACAGAAAAAGTAAACACGGCTCCTGCAATCTTCCCTTCCATGCCGATCGATTAAATTTTCTCTCAATTTTCTCTCGATTAGATGGAAGGAAATACAAATGATGATGTGATGGCTTACACCAACCGCTTGTTTTTATTTGGCATGATCAGTTCTATCAGAATCCAAACCTGCCTATCAAACACATGTAATAATTCCCACAACAGTCAAAAGAAGCGGCCAAAGCTGGCAAGGCAAGTGCAAGTGGTGACCGATGAGAAGACTTTATCTCTACCGACTAAAATTAATATCCGCCATTCATTCACGATTCATTTAAGAAAAATGCTACGCAGATTATTTTAAAAGAGTGCTCGTTATCTGATTAAAATAAAAAAGAAGACTCTTTACAAATTTTTTGTTACTTCTTGTTTTTTCATAATAATTTATAATATTAGTATGAAAATTAATTGTTAAATTGTAAAATAACAAAGAATAGATAAAAAATCTAATTTTTAAAAGAATCTCACTATCGTGTCCCTTCATATAATTCATTCATTTCTTCTCTTTTACCAATTTCTCTCTCCCGACTTTTTCTCTCTGAATTTATACTGCAACACGTTGAAAATTATGATTTTATATGTCCATTTCTCTTTATATGAATGTATCTAATACAGATCTAGATGAAAGATTTGGTCAATTCAAACTTACCTAAGTTGAATAATCCCAAAAAATTGTTACACTCACAAAGTAACACACCACAATAGTAAAAAAGCAAACTAACAACTATCTAAGCCAGGTAGCTTTTCGACTCTCATTTTTTTCTTGATCATACTTGGCTGCATGCTTTGCTTCATCATAAATCTATGTGACACTCACACTAGGTTTCACAACACATCATATATTCTTATCTTCTTGTTTTTTTGTTCTTAATTAGAAAAGGTACATGAGGATTATTTTGACGTATCAATAACAATTTATTACTTGAAAAATAACAGTATATTAATATGAGGTGTGTTGTTTTCTTATTCGCATGGTGTAAATGCACCGAGTAACGCACTCAGTCTCTTATTTTGTAGCTCATGCTTTTGGCATTCATTTTTGTGAGTTGGTCGTTCATAGTTTGAAGTTTAATCTTCGCAAGCAATGTAAATGTGTTTATTCGCTTGTATCTTAATATTATAAATACTAGCCTTTTTGGATGTGTTCATGCACGTGCGAAAAGATCTTTTTTAATCATGGTGAGCTATGCACGCGAATAAAATTGGGTAAAGTACAAAAAACTACCTCAACTATTGCGGTCATGACAGTTTCATACCTCATCTTTTAAAATTGACAATGTCATACCGCATCTTACGAATTTGTGACAATGTCATACCTCCGTCAAATTTTCTGTTAGTTTTTCTGTTAAATGCTGACGTGGCAATAGACAGGGACCACTTTCTATTAAAAAATTATTAAAATATTATTAAAAACTAAAAAAAATATTTAATATTTTTTAAATATTAAAATAATAAATGAAAGTAAAATTAAAAAAAAAAAGGGTAAGGTACAAAAAACTACCTCAACTATTGGAGTCACGACAGTTTCATACCTTATCTTTTAAAATTGACAATGTTATACCGCATCTTAAAAATTTGTGACAATGTCATACCTCCGTCAATTTTTCTGTTAGTTTTTCTGCTAAGTTCTGACGTGGCTTGATTCGGGACATACTTTCTATTAAAAAATTATTAAAAACTAAAAAACAATTATTTAATATTTTTTAAATATTAAAATAATAATAAAAGTAGAGGAAAAAAAAACCATCAGTTTGTCCCTCCCCTCTCCCTCCCCCCCTCCTCTCTCTTCTCCCCATCTTCATTTTCTTCCCCCCACCTGCAAACCCAAAAAAATAAAAAAAAATAAAAAAATTTTGAAAACCCAACAACCCCCTGCAGAAGAACAAGAAGGAGGAGGAGGAGGAGGAGGAGGAGGAGGAAAAAAAAAGGAGAAAGGAAAAAAAAAATTCCCCCTATCGGCGCGGAAGAAGAAGAAGGGAGAAGGAGAAGGAGAAGGAGGAAGAAGAAGAAGAGGAAGAAAAAATAAAAAACAAATTTGAAAACCCATCAACACCCCCCTCTGCGGAAGAAGAAGAAGAAGGAGAAGGAGAAGGAGAAGGAGGAGGAAGAAGAAAAAGAGGCAAAAAAAGGAGGAAGGAAATTATTTTATTTTTTTTTTTTTTAAAAAAAACCATCAACTCCCCTGCGAAAGAAGAAGGAAGAAGAAGAAGAAGGAAAAAAAAATATTTTTTTTGAAAACCCATCAAACCCCAAATCCACCACTTTCATCCATTCTCCACATCCTCTTCCGCACCCATCCTCCACCTTCTTTGTGCACCCATCTTCCCACCGACGAGATCTGGGTTTTTTTTTTTTTTTTTTTTTTTTCTGGGTTGCAGGAGGGAGAAGAGTGTGGGTGTGGGGAAATTGAGTGCGAGTGTGGGGGGAAGACAAATTGGATTTATTATTATTATTATTTTTTTGTTGGGATTTGCAGGTGGGGGAAGAAGATGAAGAAAGGGAGAAGAGAGAGGAAGGAGGAGGGGGGAGGGGAGGGACGAAATGAGGGTTTTTTTTTTGGCCTTTTATTATTATTTTAATATTTAAAAAATATTAAATAATTATTTTTTAGTTTTTAATAATTTATTAATAGAAAGTAGGTCACGAATCAAGCCATATCAGCACTTAACAGAAAAACTAACAGAAAAATTGACAGAGGTATGACATTGTCACAAATTCATAAGATGCGTTATGACATTGTCAATTTTAAAAGATGAGGTATAAAACTGTCATGATCCCAATAGTTGAGGTAGTTTTTTGTACTTTACACTTTTTTTTTTAATTTTACTTTTATTTATTATTTTAATATTTAAAAAATATTAAATATTTTTTTTAGTTTTTAATAATATTTTATTAATTTTTTAATAGAAGTGGTCCCCGTCTGTTGCCACGTCAGCATTTAACAGAAAAACTAACAGAATAATTGACGGAGGTATGACATTGTCACAAATTCATAAGATGCGGTATGACATTGTCAATTTTAAAAGATGAGGTATGAAACTGTCATGACCGCAATAGTTGAGGTAGTTTTTTGTACTTTACCCAATAAAATTCTATTTTCTTTTCCACATTTGTACTCAATGCAGCTAATAGGCAAGATATAAGACTGATTCTTCCAATCTTATGGTATATAGAACCTTAATTTGTTCAATCTTAATAAATTGTATGTGGAGCAAAAAATAATTCCATAAATCCTAGAGACGACACATATTTAGGGGAGGAGAACAACTTCATTACTGGTGGTATCTTCACGAGGGATTGGAAAAGCTATTTCTCTACCATTTTTGCTCGTGCTAGTGCCCCAGAGATTCTTGGATTTCTTGCAATATGAGATTTAATCCCATAACTCTTATTTTTATTTTACATGCTTCAACGCACTCCCGCCTCATGTTTTCCACAGAGTGTTGTGCCATACTACGAAAATTATACGGTCTAGAATGATTCTAACTCATTTATTTGAATGAAAGCTCTTGAACAACCAAGTCCCCTGCCAACCAAACTACAAATTCTCAATTCTTTGATCGATAGGAACCTCAAAAAAAGTTTTGGGGTTTGAGTACTTAAAAAAAGCTCTAAAAAAAAGGGAACTACAAGTAAATCTTACTAAAAAGCATATGATGAGCATTTATTTGAGTTCAGCATTTCCAAGTGTGAACTTTTTTCCGAAGAAGATAAAAATTCATTAAATAGACAAGGTTCACAAAGATGGAAAGGGATCCACTCTGGATCCCTTCTACTAAATCCACCTAATTATCCCATCCAAACCTTTGAAATTTGATTCAATGGCTAAAATTATTATAAATTTTAAAAGAACCCCTTGTTTTTAGACGTTGAAACAAATTTCAAGAGCTCGAATGAATTGATTAGGTGAATTTGATGGAAGACATCCGAAAATGATCCATTTCCCACAAAGATTTCCATGCGCAAGTCAACATATGTGGAGGCTTTAGAAATTTTTTTTTTTTTTGTTTCAGTCTTTCGGAGGCTTCTTGGTATACTTTTTTGTTGTTGATGCCATGTCGGTGGTGATTCAAAAATAGAAGCTCGTATTCTTTCCAACCACCACCAAAAAAGCGTGGCAAGTGACCAAATATCACAGAATTTGGTAAGAAATCGCTCTACTGAGACGATTCGCAGCAAATGGGCCCCACGCTTCTCCAACTACACAAAAGAGACACATGGTGGTGATGCGGCGTAATTAGAGGCCACCCTCCCTTATGTGGATCTCTCTGTATTAAATTCTAGGGATCCTCACATTTTATCTGTTCATCATATATATGCGATCAGTTTTTATTAGTTATTATTTATGTTTAATTTTAAATAAAAAATTTAAAAAAATTTATTTCACAGTATATAATGAACTAGAATATAAAACTTTAATTTATTACCCTTAATAAGTTAACACATGCACTGCCCAAATTGATGTGTGAGGGATGGACAAGTGACAAAACATATCACATGCACTACCCAAATCGAAGCACGAAAACGAAATAATGGGTGGGACTCGGCCACTTCCCACCATGAGATTATCTCCAACCCAAAAGGGATCAAAAGATCATGTTTAGCTCTATAGCTTTATAAGAATTATTTTTAATAAACAGTGTCACACTATATTTTATACCATCTTCAACCGAGGGAGCCAAAGACCATAAGCCAAAACATAGCCCGTTTGAGAAAAAAAACTCATCTTCAACCAAAGGGGGCTATTTTTTAGCCCACTTAATAATTTATTATTTTAATTGAATTAATATTGCTAATTGAATTAAATTATCATATTAAAATAAGATTTTCGGACATATTTTGAGTGTCACTTGTCGCTAAATGAATAAGGGTATGGTTCTCTTATCTTTATATAATGAAAAGGATGTGAAAAATTGGTGAAGAATTGAATAAAATGAGGTAAGATAGTATGAAATTGTGAAAATGATGTAGAAATGGTTTAGGTATTTATAGGAAAAAAAAAATTAGACTTTTTTTTTTAAATTTTGTCTAAAAAAAAAATCAAATCCACAGTAACATGACGTCAACTAGCATGGAATTATGGTCCGATATTGCCCACAAGCCCTTTGACCTAACCTTCAGTTGAAGATGATTTTCGTATCAAAACAGGTTATATTTTGGCTTGTGCCCCTTTGGCTAATACTACTTATC